AAATGCATCTCCTCCTTTACCTTTTTCTCTACAAATATTTCTTGAGTATTTTGTAATTTTGTGATTTTGTAAAGTCCAGTTAAGTCGAAGAAATACCTGAATACATCAGAGGATATTTTAAAAATGCAAACCCATATTTTTATATTTTTCCCTGCATGGTTATTGGTCATTGAAACATGTCCAAGATATGCCAGAACTCAAAAAAATAGTAAGAGAGTCAGTAATGTATTGCAGCACGTTGCTGTTGTCATTGTCCTATGGATTTGAAGACAACTCATTTCCTGTTGACCTTTTCAGCTTTAATGTCAAGGTTTGGGAGCATTTTAAAGTGCTGATTTTCCCTCTCACACTGTATGACAGCAGACATCCTTTGTCTTACATGCCTTAAGAATTAACAAGTGTAAACCAAGCCTGTCCCAGGACAGCCATGAAGGGAAGCTCACAGCACTTTGCCTGACACAGATGACTGTGAAGATTCAACAGAATAGCCTGAAATCTTTCAAGAATAGGGGTCAGTAAGCACTGCAGAAGTTTGTGCCTCCACATCTCAGGTGCTTTTGTGTCTCTCCTAGACATATGGGTCTGGCTATGTCTGCTGAGTTCAGCTTACAGGTCTTGCAATTAATACCTTCTGAAAGCAGTAGTGTGTGAAATACCACCTCTCCAAAGAGGTTATTCTGTCTAGGAAAACTGGTGGTTCAATGACAGCAAGAGCCTGAAAAAAACCCCAGCCTTTATGTTTGTTCCCTGCTGCCAAAGAACATGGTAAATAAATAAGGAAACATGTTTTATATCTTTGATATTTTGGGGGAAAAAATGTACAGTATTAGTTCATTTTGCTGTAGGTGAAATGTTGGGAGATCCTAAAAATAATATCCTCTGCAAGTCAGGAAAAGCTCAGTGGGCATAATTTTATTCAAGTGAATCATATCTGTGTTAATGCAAGGTGCCCACCAAGCTGCTCTACCCACTCCCCCTTCCAGCTGGACAGTGGAGAGAAACTAAGGTGGAAAACAATTCATAGGTTGAGATAAGGCAGTTTACTAAAAAAAAAGTAAAAGGTTGTGTGCCCTCAAGCAAAGAGAAAACCTGAAGATTTTATTCTGTACGTCCCATCACTTAGCAAGGTCTGGCTTCTTCCTGGGAAGCAGGATTCCAGCACATGGAGCTGCTGCTCTGGAAGGTAAATGCTCAAATAACACATCCTCCTCCCCAGTCCTCCATCCCCACTCGGTTTTTGTCTCTGAGCTGATGTCACATGCTCTGGAATATCCATTTGGTCAGTCTGGGGCAGCTGTGCCCACTCCCTGCCCCCTCCAGAGCAGGGAAAGTTGATAGAGTGGAGTTGTGCCAGCCCTGCCCAGCAGCAGCCAAACCTGGGGTGTTATCACCTCCTTTCTGTTGGAACTCAAAATGTCCCTCAGACATTTTTGGAGGTTCCAGGCCCAGGTCAGAAACATTTGAGACCCTGGCAGGCAGCTGAAAACAGCTGTGATTTTGGGTTTGAACCATGGAACGCTTTACCAACCTTGCAGGAAGAACAAGAAGTCACAAAAGTTTAGATATTATAGTAGACGTAGTCACAAAGTAGAGGGAAGAATTTTTGGGTGCTGTACAGGGGGGTTTTAAGTCCTGTACAGGGGGGTTTTAGTTTTGTACATGGGGGTCAGAGGGTTTAAGATGGAGGGATTTGGGCCTGTCCTGTCCTCCCTCTTTCTTCTTCCTTAGCTCCGTGTTCTTGGTGATGTTGGCACTCACAGATTGGTTTAGAGTAAAAGGCACCATTTAATACAGGTAATAGGCATTGGGGGAAAACGGTAAACATGTAACACGTAATGTACCATATAAAAGACAGCACAGCCCTGGGCGGGGAGAGAAGAAGCAGTCGGGAGTCAGAGAGGATGTCAGGGTGTGTGTGTGCCTCTGCCTGAGCTGTGAGCAAACCACAGCAGCCCGAGAAGAAAATCTTTTAGATAACTTGCAATAAACTGCCTTGAGACCGAACAACAAGAGACTGCTGAGCCTTTCTTTGGAAGCACAGGTTGGAGGAGAAGTTTTTTCACCACACGGAGCCACCCCTGACCTAGGGTGGTCTTCGGCACCTTTCCAGCTCCCAGTGCAAAGCGCGGCACGGAGGGATGCCCTGGGACTATCAACCCCACCCCTGCCAGACCACAGCACCAGTGGAGTAGAAGCATCTCCTCTGTGACCAGGTCTCTGATATATTCTAAATATGGCACATTTGTTTCTGTAATGGGCAACTACAGGGCTTGTTTAAATACTCAGGTCAATTTATGGCTGCAAACAGTAGCTAGAAATGAAACTCATGAATAGTGAAGCACTGCTTCCCAAGCTGGACACAGGCAATTAAGCACTCCCTATGTTTTCTGGATAAATATGCAAATTTGACATTCAATTCGGACTTCTAAAAAAAAATTCACCCAAGTTAAACCACAAAGAATATAAGCAGTCCAAAGCTTAAGTATTTTTGCTCTAACTTTAATTGCTTGCCATAATTTCTGTTAAGGGCAAGGCACTTTAGTAGGTTATCATTCTGCTCCTCCCAACTGTTTCAAAAGTCAAGTGTGGTTTCCCCTGACACATCACATAGTGGATGGAATTTTTAGGTGGAGAATTTACAGCAGAGTAGCATGCAGGGAATTCATTAAAGCTGGGAGAAGGAAGTCACTGCAACAACACTGCAGTGTTGTTTGCATAACTTAGTTTGCCTGTTGCAAAGTAAGACTAACTACTGAACTGCCTTAATAAATTACATTTTTCAGTAGTTAACGAGAAGCACTTAGCAGGTTCTGGAAGAAAGAGGATTAAAAAGTTTATCATATGAAGTAGGAAAAATAAAAGTTATGGGATTAGCTGTTAAAATGTGTTTAGAAACGCAGATATACACTGCTGTTAAATGCAGATTTACAGGACAAAGGACTCTAATGACTCTAAGTCATGTGCCACTCCTCCCTCATGATTCTGCTGCAGACAGGGTCCCAATCTGGATTTAGCATTTTTGGTGGTGATGTAAGCTTCTGCCTCACTCAAGTGCAATTTGTTCCATTGTTTGTGACTTCAGTATGCTGCCCTAAAATTATATCATATTTTAAGGCCACAGATTATTAAGACTACAAACAAAAGGCATCATAATCCTCAACAACCCTTTAACTCTGCTTCAGAATGATTTTAAAGGCTCAAATCAAACTGTGGTGGCAATTAGGTCTTGGAGTTGACCACAGGGAAAGATCTGTTGTAATGTTTGTCTGTTGTAATTCCAAAGTAACTTTTTTAACCTTTTGGCAATGGACATAATCTTTTTCTGAGCAGCCTGTTCTAGTGGGATGTGGAAAGTGCCTGGAATCAGATAATCTTTAAAGTCCCTTCACAAATGAACTATTCCATAATTCTATTATTCTGTGAAGTGAACAACATCAGAATATTCTTATTAAATTTAAAGTGGAAAAGAGCCAGAAGAGTTGATACTTCCCGAGAAAACCAAGTTGTCCTGCTCTGTAGGTGAAAGAAGGAGGCGGGGAGGGAAAGAGCACAGTGAAATAAAGACCAGACTATGTCCACTGCACCTCTGAATGCTATGAAATAGAAACTCCACCTTATTGTGAGGTGTCTGAGCCAGAGACTAATGAAGTCAATCTCTTTCATTAGGAGGGTGAGGTTGATTGGATGCAAAATCCTCCTTGGCTGATTTAAGCTACCTTTGGTGTGAAGGAGCTGCAAAGCAAGTTCAGCCTAGGACATCACTAGAGAGAAGAAGAAACCTGCAGGAAAGAGCAGAGAGGCGTTAGTATACCAGCAAATCTCTTTTTATACATTTTGTGGGTCCCTCTCTCTCACACATGCGAAGTAAAGGTCCGGTGGACATTGCAGTACCAAATTCTGCCGTGACGCTGCTGCTGCCCATGTGCGCCCCGGCGCTGTTGATCCATCCCAGGCACACACCACGTCTGTCCTTTGTTTTCTGCGAGATTTTATCACTCTTAGAAAAAGGACAGTACCCTTATTGAATGCCTTGAATCCCAAGTCTATTTGGCTGTCATTGCAGGTTTGATGTGCAGCGGTCTTTGTTTAAAAAGGCACAATATTTACATAAACAGGCTGACCTTTTAAACCGCATTTTATCAGGAGGAGCTGAAGGGGAGGAGATAAGGGGAGAGAAGGGGGCAGAGGAGCCTTTGCTACCTGTTGCCGTAAGAGAAATCATACCCTGAGGCAAAGAGACCTTTTGTTTTTATAACTGCATAAAGTATCATATTTATGTCTACATATTTAACAGACACTACACTTGAAATGTACACTGAATTGTTTTCTTTACAAACTGTATCATCCCCCCTTCATTCCTTTTCTTACGTCCTCACTATAGAAAAAATCAATAAAGCCCCAAGCAGCGTAAATCATTGCTAAGATCAGCTCACTCCACGATTCTTTAGCATAAGAATGATTAGATACGCTGACAGGAACAAACCAATGTGATGCCAGAGGAATCCTGAGTTTCTGTGGTTTCCGACTTTTCCCCAGCAGATTCTGGAAACATAAAACTGCCAGGCTGGCAAACAGATTGGAATGCTTCACACTGGTGCTTACAGAGACAATAGAAAGAAGACAAAAAGCTTCTTACTAAAATCCCAGAAACTGCCATCTCTTTTACAGACCGCACAGAGCCCAGCAGAGAGGTGCTGGTGGAACGCTCCATATTGCCTAGCACATACATCGCATCATCTGCGCGGTTCCTGCGCTCATTTCACTGATCTTGCTAATCGTGAGTCGCACACAGCCCTGCTGCTGTGCTGCAGGGATGCCGGAGCTCCGTGCTGCTCTGCACGCTGCTCCTGACACCTTCTGCCTTTCCGTCTACCCGCGCTGAGCTCCCAGCCCACCTGTGCCCGGGGAAAAGCCTTTTTATTAGCCATGACCGCGTGTCTGTCGGGGGACATACATCAAGCTCCATAAATGCTGGCGCTGCCTCCCTCTACCCCACACACCTTCAAATTCCGCACGCATTCCGGAGCCACTATGCGAAGAGAAGGGTGATGTTTCCACCGAGCCAGGTCATTATTTCCATGCCGAGAGCCTGGAAGCATCGAGAAGCGGGGGAAATGGAGGGGCGATGCTCCGCTTACCCGGGGCAGGAGAGGGACGCGGGTGATGAGCAGGGGAATTTCCGCCCATCCCCTCTGCCCCGCAAACGCTCCTGGCCGTGGGGTCTCTCCCAAAAGCCGCTTCCCCGCTCAGGGATCTCCGCAGCCCTTCCGTGCCGGGCTCCGAGGCGGAGCGGCACCGGCCGGGGAGCACGGCTGCGGAAAATATGAAATAAAAAGATGAGAAACAAAGGGCTGGCCGAGGGTGGGGGGCCAGGTATGTTCTTACCCGGTCGGTATCGCCGCCGTGCCTCGCTGGATTGCGGGCGCAGGAGGAAGAGGAGGAGGAGGAGGAGGAGGAAGAGAGGCTGGTGCCGCGCCACCCGCACCCTGCGGGCGCTCTGCCTCCGTGCCGAGCCCCCGGAGCCCTGTCCCCGCCGTGCCCCGACCCCGGGAGCTGCCCCCGTGCCGAGCCCTGTCCCCGCTGTGCCTCGACCACGGAGCTGCCCCCGGCCCCAGCGCTCCCCCCACCTCGGTCTCGGCCCCCCGCGCCCCCTCCTCCGCTCGCCCCCGCCCCGAGGGGAGCGTCCCCCCCTCGGCCGCGGCTGCCGGGATGAGCCCCCGGCGCTCTCTGACCCTCCCGGCTGGCTCCGGCCTCCCGCTCCTCGGTGCGGTCTTGTCTGTGTTCCACCTGCGTGGGCAAAGCCCTTCTCCTCCCGCCTGCGGCTGGTCCCACAGTTTGTTATTCTTTCCTCGAGAATCGCTTCCATCACCACCAAAAAAGAAGGAAAAAAAAAAAAAAAACCACAACCCACATCTACCCCAGCGAATCCCAACCCTCTTCGCAACTCCTCTTGCTATTCGGGTTTGCTTCCCTCTCCCCTCCTCCTTCTCCCCTCCCTCTTTCCCCCGTTTCGGGTTTGGATCCTCTCTCTGCCCTACACACACACACACACAGACAGGCACGCACGGTGTAAATGGGTTGTCACACACACAGAACCGCTGCTGGTTCCCAAAGTCCCCCCACCCTGCTCAGCCTTCCTCTAGCTTGAAGCCGCAGATCATGGACTATATGCTTGGAGCTGGGATGCGTTTCATTCACAGCCGCTTCTCCTCCTGCAATTTCACCCGGTGAGTAGATTTGATTTCGCGTTCAGGTGGCGTGCTTCCAACAGGAAGGACACTAAAAACAACAGGGAAAAATAAAAAGAAAAGATAAATTGAAAAAAGTTTTGCTTCCCCTTGTTCCCCAACGGGCTGGCTGTACTTTCTAAACTCGAAGGAATTAGGAAACGCCAGCTTTCTGCCCACGTTCATTCCCAGCCACCGCGCTCGGCGCTGATCGCAGCGCGCACCGCAGCACCGCTTCCAGAGCCGCCGTTCCACTGCTTATTCATCACATTTTATTCATCTTTCCAGCAGGCACGGTACCTGCTCCGTTCCCCGGTTTAACCCTTGCAGGCGGAGCGGGTCTGGAGGACGCTGGAAGGGCTCAGGGTTTCTCCCCGTGCCGGGGGAAGGACAGGATCGCTGCCGGCTGAGCAGCCGGGAGCGCGCCTGAGGAATGGCTGGGAGCCCGCGGGGGGACATCAGGTGCAAAAGTTCATTGCTCTTCCCCGTGCCCTGAGGAACTTGCACAGGATTGGGGGTGGGGAAGGATTCGTCTGAAGGGATAGGAAAGGATTTCCAGACCTCAGGTCCCGTCGCATGGGCTGGGAAGTGGCGCTGGCCAGGCTGGGAGGGGGCAGGGGTGCGGGGCGGCAGCGGGGTCGGCTGCCGGGGCTTCTGTCCTCCTGTCCAGCCGCTGCCGCAGCTCCCTCCTCGTCCTTTCCTCACTTCTCAATCCCATCGCACCTGATTTTATTTATCACTATTTTCGGGCATACCTGCATTTTTCGCTGGCCAAAAATGGGCCCCTGAGGAGCGCAGGAAAACATCCGCACGCCTATACATGTACCTGAGGTAGAGGTAGATGGATGGTAGAGGTAGGGCTCTTGAATCAACTAGGGGCTTCTTTAAAAAAGAAAAAAAAAAAAAGAGGAAAAACCAAGGGAAATAAACATGTTATGTTTAAAAAAAAAAGGACAAGTGCCTTCAGAGTGCTATTTGTTGTTGATACTTCCAGGATTTCAGTGTCTCTAATTAGCGGCAGAGATCCTCCCACGGTCAACAGCAGAAGGCAGGGAGGAAACATGACTGGGCTCCGTGTAACTCTGTCATTTGGGTGCAGGATAAGTGTGTCTATATGTGTGTGTCTGTGTGAGCGATCATGTCTCCAAAGCAGTACCTGCAGGAATCACCAGGAAAGTGCTAAAGGCTTGCAGGCAGGTAGAGATGCCAGGGAGAAATAACAAGATCCGAATTTATTGCCTGGTGGCGTGCACAAGATGGGAAAGACTAATTCAATGCCAGAGTGTGCTCCCCTCTTGTTCTTTCCTCCACCCTCCCCACCCTACTGCCTCCCCCCTCGGCCGCCAGATTGCTGGCTGATGTCTGGAAAGGAGTAGTGAGAAAGCCCTTCAAGCATGGGATCCAAAATCCGCCCTTCCTCCAGCTCCTCTTTTCTCCCACCAGTTCGAAGCCCCCATGCCTACTTACCTCCTTCCACCTCAGCGTCTCTCTCCCGGGGACTCCAGCAGGTTTTCCCATCCCCCGCTGACTTGCCCCTCTGCCACCTCCCCCCCTCCTCCTGCCCTGGACCTTTCCATGAGACTGAGGTGATTAACCAAATCCAAATCCCAGACATTTCCCCTGAATTACCCGCCTCTGGCGCTGCTGCTGCCGGGATCCACCTGCACCAGGCTGCTCAGGAAAGTTTCCGTGCAGTTATACCCCCCCCCTTCCCTCCCTAGGCAGGGAGTGCGTTTCAAAACCTCTACCTGTTTTTAATCTTTCCACTCCCCACCCCCTAAACCCTTAGTAAAGAGAAAAAAAAAAAAAAAAACCCCGAAACAAACCAGCAAGTCCTGAGGGATTTATGTTATAGTGGGAATAGCTCAGCCAGTGAGCATCGCCTTGCCGTGCTGCTTAAATGTTACCGCTCTGCAGAAGAGATTTATGTGCCCATCAGCAGAATATTTCCCGGGTTTAAGAGCACTCGATTTTCCCTCTGCTGACGGGGATGGGAGACGGTAAGATACAGGATGAGGGCAGTGGAGTTGTTTAGCTCACAGGCACTATGACGGAAGGCAGTAAAACGGTGTCTGGGCGGCAAAAGTGACACAGGTTGGAGCGGGTGGCATTTCTATGCTCAGCGGAAGGCGAGGGGATGCACATCAACCCCTTTGCATACAGCCCCAAATAAATCAATGTGAGTAACGTGGGCTTAATGGGAGATTGCAACAAGAGTCAGGTGTGATAAATAGCGAAGATTCCCACTACCCTTGATTTCCAGCATTCTGCATCCCCAGCCCAGGGATGCACGGGGCTGGATGACTCAGAAAAAGCAGAGGAATAATGGGCAGCGGCCGGGCAGCTTTTGCTTTGCCGTAGTTGGTTCCTCAGCTTTTTGTACAATACACTGGCGGTGTGAAAACACCTCCCGAGCCCCACGGCCCATTCCTGAGAGAATGCTCCCAAACATCTCTCTTCCCTGTATTTAGATGTCCAGGCTCCCTGCTTGCCCGTGTCTGGCTTCACTGCCAAGGATTACCTCCATCTCCCCTGAAGCTGCGTGGATGTGGGACTCCCTTTTGGCCGGGAGTTAATTTCCCAATTTCCCGTGCTGCCGGTGGCAGACGGACATCCAGGGAGGTGGCTCTGGCAGAGGGGACACCTTTAAGGATGCGTGTCAGCGTTCAGCCTGCCTTCTCAGCTTCCCGGGCTTAATCTGCCCCGCTGCTCTGTGTGTCCTCGGGGCAGGTCCCGGGGGAAGGGCCGCTGACAAGTCGGGGGTCGGGGGGAACAAGCCACCTTCCCCGGCAGCAGGAGGGGCTGCTCCGGCTCCGGGCGGAGCGAGCTGTCCCGGCCGCGGGACCCCCGTCTCGCCCTTCCCCAGCCTCCCCCCATCCTCGGCAGCCGAGGGCAGCTCGTTTGCTGGGGGAAAGAGGAAAACATCCCCCTGCAGGGAGCGGTGCGTGCCCCGCAGCCGCCAGCCCGTGCGGGCTCGGCGGGGCTGGCCGCGGAGGGAGCGGAGGCTTCACCGCAAAGGGTTAAGGCAGGGCTGCAGGGTGCTCCGGGCAGGAGTCCTGGGAGCGCCTCTGAGATGCACCAGCCAATCCCGGAGACGGCAGCGTGAACTAGATGTAGCGTGCTGGAAGAAGGGAGGTGAAGAAAATAGGGTGTAAAGTGTCACCGCGCATCGCCAGGCGGACCTGCTCCTTGGGCTGCGATCTCTTAGAGACTTAGAGACCAGCATGCATTTAAAAAGGTAAGGGCTTTGTTACCAGCAGTCTATATTGTGATTCACTGCCGGATTCAAGCGCATTAGCCGCGTAGCTTTCATTTAGTGATAAATTGTGTAGCACGGAGTGGGAAGAAAGTGGAATTGTGGCATGATTTACTGCTCGGGAGCCGTTTTGAAAGACTACGTCAGCTTCGAGTTGTAATGATTTCATGTAGAGATTAAGCAAGTGAATGCATGTGAAGTAAAGTGAATTCATGACTGGCAGAAAAATGTAATGTATGTGATAAGAGAAGGCTGTTCTGTTGTAGCAGCAGAATCAGTTATGGATCCATATGAAATGAAGGCTAGAGTGAGATAGACCTGATTTTGAGAAAATGTAGAGAATAGTTCAGAGACATATATCTGACAAGCAAGTCTGTCAGAAAATAAACCAAAAATAACTTCATTCCTAGAAAAAAGCCCATGTTTATTAAATACAACATCACAAAAGAATGCTGTAAAAAGAAGTGAAGTCAGAACCTTACAGAGTCTGTATGTTCAGAGATGAGTGACTCTGACACATTAAGTGCAGAGATAAAGCTAGAGTGGCCCTGCTAACATTTTACAGGATAGAAGAAATAACTTCAGAGGAGCAATCCGTTTAGATATCAGACTTCACAGACTGCTGTCATTGCTCAACTCCATCCCTACAAGGAGTTACTCATTTTAAATAGGTGCTCTATCAGCTTTACCACAAGACCAGCTTTGGGAATAGAAACATTTCACTGGATCTCTTCCTCTTGTATCTAAGCATAGCAACAGACCCTCGGTCTCAGACGCTGTTGCAGTGCTAATCAGCAGAGTTCCACCCAGAAACTACCTACAAATTCTTGCCTCCAAGCATTTTTCTCTCTAAGACGTGTATAATTTAAGCAGGGGAGGAATAAAAAAAAGGTCTGTGATATTTTCTGTAAGCTGATCCACCTCCAGTGAGAGCAAACCTCCCCAACAGATGCTGAGTTCACTGGAGTCGTGTTTGGGGTGCTTCTTCATGAAATGCTGAAACGCTGTGAGTGAAAACGATAACTAAGAAACATGAAAACAAGCAGCTGAATGTTTTTACAGCGCTCAGTGCAGAAGGCAGCATTTGAACAACAAGCCAACAAAACAACTTGAGAATCTTCAAGTGATGCAATCCTCCTGTCTTATCCTTTCCTATTTTTTCTACTACTCTCTGAATGCCTCTGTGAAGAATTAATTACAGAAGTCAATTCATTGTTTACACCAAGGTGACCAAAAATTTACTTTTTAGTCACATAGAGCAGTGACTTGTCACTCCTCTCAGTCCTAGACAATTATTTATGGGACTAAAATATTTTTCCTTCATTTGTATTAATTCAAAATCATGTCTGATTGTGATCAGCCTAAGTAATTTCTTGCTTGAGATGCAACACCCACTGAAAACAAAAGGAAGTTCTTTTTACCAGCAAGCTTGCTTCTTCAGCAGTTTTTGAAAACCTGAATGGAAAATTGGATGATCAAACTACTTACCTAAGTTTTCCTTAGAAGAAAAAGAGTGGTGGAAGGTATTAGGTGATAGTTTCTGGAAACATTATTTTCTAGTTTTCAGGCATACCTAGTGCAGCTCTTTCGGAATCCTCCCAAAGCTTCACCTCTCCTCAAAACCAGAAGCTGACATTTTTTACTCTCCTGAAACACAAGTAATCTCATATGGGAGCAAAATCAGCAGAAATACACTTTGACAAACAGAGCCCAAGTGCTCTTTGAGAAAGGTTGCACTGAAGCCACTGTCCTGTTAGAGCTGCAGGTAGTAGACAACAGCCACTCATTTCATGGGGAAGTAATCTAACTTCTTCCTGATCTCATCCTATATCAGCATAAGAGAACATTTTTTAAATCTAAATTTTCAGCTACATTCTCTTCATATCATTGTTTTCCTTTTGCTCAATACATGTGAGTTCAGTGAGGGCCTCATCTTGGACAATTCAAGGAGATGAGAATATCCCTATTAAAGTCAATAAAAGCAAGATCAATTCCCAAAACAATATTCTGGAGCCCAGATGAGCTTCAGATTTAGAAGGGGAAAAAGTGGGCATCATGAAGGTACATGCTGCTTACTAAGCAGTGGGAAGCTCCGTACCTCTTGAGTCAAATAGCATTAAAATACTTAAGAACTAAGAATCTGTGACTTGTTCTAGGCCTCAGTACTTTTTCATCTTTGATAAATCAACATTTTTCTGTATGAAGTTGAGGAAACCCCACTGAGCTGCAGGTAATCAGCACCTTGTGACTGGAGTCATCACCTTGCTAAAAACTGTAGTGTGAATAAATTTGGCCTTCCAGCTTTGAAGTTGCTAATTTATATGTACCGGAGTTTGTGTGCATACACAAATATGGTTTATACATAGATATAAATATGCATGATTCACACCCATGGTCTGTATAATCACATTTTTGCCCTGGCTCAGACTGTGGGAATGATTATTTAGCTCAGTCAGTTTCCTATCTCCCACTGAAAGTCTTCACCTGCTCCGAGTGCCACAAAAAAATGCGCTGAGGAGAGGGAAGAAGGACATTCTGCCACCTCAGAGCTTTTCAACTTTAACTAATGAGCCTCTCACAAAGGCCACAGATTTTGTTCCACCTTCAGAAGAAGATTGACCGAGCAATATATATTGTTAACTAAATTAACACTATTAAACTGTAGTGGTTCCTCTTATAATGAGGTGACAGCGTAAGGCTGGTGTGTCAGATCCCTTTATTGTAGCAGTTACATTAATGGGGGAAAATTCTGCTGATTTGCAGTAACACCTTCATTGCCACATCCACCAGCACTGATTAATGAGAAAAGTGGAATGTAAGGCACTCATTATACATTGGAAGTAAAGGACGTAAATCTGGGGAGTCAGAGCACTGCTCTATACCCTTAATCCCATATTATTCATGACTCCTGAGAATTCTGTAGGGCTAATTTAGCTCTTTCAGTACTTATAAATCTACTGGAAATAACAAAAGCACCTGGTTAGCTGAACATGGATGACCACACTGGAGTCAAATGG